GAGAGAGAGAGAGAGAGAGAGAGAGAGATTCTGACATCACTGTTCACGCTCACCGATTCATCGCGTGAAACGTAATAGATTATTGCGTAATAGTCGGATTGCTCTGATCGAGAATTAGCGCATTATTTTTATCTCTCAACATTAAAAAAAAAAAGTAGTTCGCGTTATTATTAATAATACAATATTAAATCAGAGGCAGTATTTAACGATAATTTAAATTGACTTCCACGTCACGCGCGTTTGAACTCAAATCACTTCAAACTTTAATTTGGTAATTAATTCAGAACGCGATAAAATACTGAGTCTGAGAATTAGCGGATATTACTACTGAAAGTTATAATGCCTTCTCTTTTCCTTTTCCTTGTGTATAATTTCTGCTAGCAATTTCGTTTAGTTAGTACATCAAAATTTCCCAGCTTAAGCTTAAATTATCCCTTCGGCCGTAAACTCGAGCCAGCAAATTTTATTCGGAAATATTCCGCTCCGGTCGCGGAGCGATAAATTCGATAAGCGGATGAAACGCGAGGTGCAAAGTAGTAGCTTTTGATCCGAGGTACGGCCGGAGTGTACACAGAGGCGCGCGATAATTATCGTGTACCCCCGGGACCGTCGGGTGGCACTACAAACTAGTTGCCGTGCCGGCCAGTGTGGGCTAACGGAGGGCCGCATTTCGGCGTGGCAACCAGCCGGGCAAAAAAAAAACGACGAGACGGGCAAAAAGGACGACGCGAGAGCAAGAAGAGGTGGCCGTGGAGGAGGAGAAGAAGAAGGACGAGGTAAAAACGAGCACGGAGCACGAACCGTGAATCCCGGCTCCCGTGGGCCGCCGCGCCGCGCCGCAGAGAGCGGCGGCGAAGAAGCGCAAGAGTGCCCCGGAGGAGAGCCGCGGAGGGAGATCGTATCGGGTGATTAACTCTCGCGATCTCCCCGGAGAGAAAGAGGGGGGTCCCGGGGGCCCCACCTCGTTAGCTCTGAGTAATTCGAGCGCTAATTGCACCTAAGAGCGAGGAAGCCAGGGAGCGGGCTGCGCGGGGTCCGCTTCTTCCCCCGCGGGGGCCCCGATAGACGCCGAGCCGAATCGAGAGAGCCGCCCTGGGCCTCCCCTCCTCCCCGTACGACGCGCGGGCCCCCTAAAACATCCGAGATGTAGCGTGAGCCGGTGTGAAAGCGAGCCGGGAATGGGCGTGCAAATGAGGGCGCAGAAAACATCTTGATGTATCATTTATCACTCGGCCCGGCCTGAACCGGAGCTACGTCATCTACCTTGGCCCCCCCCCCCCCGCTTCACCGATGCACCAAGGCGCCAGACAGTGATGTCAGGAAATATATCTCAAATCTGTTCACGGGTCGCGGGCCTTCGTTACGTAAAAGCGCGACGCACAAAGGCGGGGTTTATTCGGGTTGCGAGTCGCGCCGCCAACCCGTTGCGAACGAATGGTCGAGCGTGCGTTGCGTTTCTATACGTTTTCCCTTACGTAATGTTTCTTCTTGCTTGTAGGGACCGCCAAACGCGCAGAAGACGTCGGCGTCGTCTAGCACTTCCGGTCTCGGCGGCGCGCAGCCCGGTGAGACCAGTTACGAGCTGCTTCTACAGCAGCAACAGCTGTTCCTTCAATGGCAGCTCGAGTGGCAGCACAAGGTAGTGTGCATTGCATTCTATGCACGCGTATTAAAGCAAAGCGAAAAGAATTATATGTCCCTCTCGTGATTTCAGATAGAACAATTTGTTTATACTTTATTTCTAAAAAAAAAAGCTTGCACCATTTTCTCAAATGTTTGCTTTTCAAAATATATTTAAAAAAATCTCTTTATTTATTTAGTATCCACAGATCATCTTGCCGGCCGCGCAGAAGCCGCTGTCGCTCACAAGTAGCGGCGCGAGCGATGCTGGTAGCGTGAGCGGAAGTAGCGCGAACGCCGCCAGTCCGGCTCCGTCGAATTCTTCGAACAATCCTTCGGAACAGCCTCCATTGAGGCCTTTGGGCAAATTGGAAGATATGAAAGGTATACTCGAGTCGCATTGGGGATACGTGCGCGAAAGATCCGCCGCGAGAAGAAACGAAAAAATAATAATTTCGCGTATTTCTTTGCAGTGAGCGACCTCAAGGTGGAACTGAAACGACGGAATCTGCCGGTATCGGGATCGAAGCCGCAGTTGATTGAACGATTGAAGCCCTTCACGGAGTCGTCCAGCGGCAACTCGATCTCCAACTCTACCGGACCGCACGTGACGCACATGGGTCATATCCTGATGGACACGCCTGGCCCGATGGCGACGGATGACTCCAGCTGTCAGGTCAAGAGTCCGTTGAGCTCTATTGTGAAGGACGAGCCCAACAGCCCGCGAACGGCCTCGCCTCACAGTAGCGAGCACGACGACCCGTCGAGTCCGCCAGGTAAAAACGTCATCTCGATAATCTCCTCGTTAGATTGAGCGCCACTTTTAAGTGTTTGGCGTGCGCGCGCGAGAGGCGATGAGACTTTCGAGCGAGGGCCGTTGATTTGAGAGGCAGCACACGTGGGTGTTTTTACGACGCAGTTCGTGTTTCAGGAGATGATATCATCAAGGTGCAGAGGAAGCGGATAGAGGAGTTACAGCGCGAGCTGTACAAGTCGCAGCAACAGCTTCAGCAGATCCGCCAGACGCAGCCAGCCACGGTGCGCGCCGAGAAGCTGGCGCTCCAGCAACATATACACAATAAAATGCAGCAGCAACAACTGGCTTTACACCTGCAGCAGCTTCAGCACTTCAGCAGCAGCAGCAGCAGCAGCAGCAGCAACAACAACAGCAGCAGCAACAGAACCAACAACAGACGCAACAGCAACAAGCTACGATTCATCAGCTCAATGCGAAGGCGAGTCTCGCAGCCTTCCTGCAAGCGCAACCAAACAATGCTACCGCTATTCTTGACTCCGCGACTCTGACTGCGATTAACAACAAGAAGAATCAGTCTAAGAATAGCACTACTGTCCAAATACCTACGGCTATCGTCCTAAATTTGGCAAAGCCGACTAAGCTGAACGGCTCATTGCTTGGTGCTCTTGTGGCGCAGGCGCAGGTTCAACAGCAGCAGCAGCAGCAGCAGCAACAGCAACAGCAACAGCAAACAACTGTTACTGAAGACATCAAGCCGCCGCCACCGCAGTACGATGAAGCTGCTAAGTTGCTAAAGGTACAATTATTTTTCCATTATAATTCTAGAAAGAGCAAAATTATAATTTTTAAATAACTTATATGTATTATAATTTAATAATCAGTGTTATAATGTTATAGTTGAATTTCTTTTGACGCTTTATATGAACAGCCTTGTCACTTATCACGTTTTAATTACAGGTCAAAATCGAACCGGTCCAGAAGAGTCACATAAAAAGTCAAGTAGTTGACGACGTATTGGAGATTCTGATCAAGAACGGCGAGCTACCACCAAGCGCCGCGCAAGATCCAGCCACTCCTACGACTCCGAATCGTCAGCTACAGCAGAATCTGGTCTTCACCGCGCCGGCGGACAGTCCAACTCAGTCGTTAGTTTTCACGGCCGCCAGTCCGATGAGTCCGATTAGTCCGATACCGATGGAGGTGTCTCAAAGCGGTTGCTCGAGCCCGTCGACACCGGCACCGCCGCCGCCGCCGCCGTTGCCGTTAACCGCGTTCTCCATTCAGTTGCCCTCTGCCCTCCAACAGATGCAACAGCAAGAGGAGATCACCTCCTTCGGCACGGATCTTCTGACTTCCGAGGCCGAGTTGGACGCCGCGATGTTACTCAGTCCTCAATCGGTGCAACAAGCTTCCCCAGATCCTCAACCGCCACAAGAAGTGACTTCCTCGGACAATGCAAATTTGGATCTCAAAGTACGTTTCCTTAAAGAGGAAATTTAATTAAGAAGAAGAAAACTATCCTTTTGGCGTATTAATCAAAATAGATTGTGAGAGTTATAATTGACAAAATCACAGGTGGAATTAACGATTATTCAAATTAATACCATAATTGAATACTATAATTAATACTACATTTTAATACTATATTAATACTATATTTTTCAGGAACTGGGATTGGACTTGGAAACATTGGATCCGATGGACTTTGGTCAACTAGACTGCGACATGCCAATGGATATGGACGATCCCGATTGGCTGGATTCCCTGATGCCGCAATCGCCACCACCTTCTGCGACATTGTCATCATCCAGCCATCAGTCTACCACTCCGTCAATCAGTCTCTCCACTACGGATATCTATGATCCCTTATTAGGCAGCAGTCAATACTCGTTTGATCTCTTTAATATGGAGGACTCTGACTTCAAGATGTCGTCCGACTTATCTCCGATGACCTGGGACAAGGTAGACTTTGCGACCTAGCCCGAAATACTCTCCTGCAATCCGGCGTTATGTACTTAATCCTCGTCGAGTAATCAAAAGTATAATTCGCGATAAACGAAGGAAAAGCGGACAGTAAGACCATTGCATATGCTATGCTTTGATCGGGCCTGATCCGGTGCATTTCATATAAGCCGTTTCGTGACATCCTTGCCTCTGATGCATCTTGTAATCGAATGTTACATCGAATGTGTACTTATACGCGCGCGTCAAGACGAGAAGTGTTGATTTCGAGAGCATACCTACCGTTTAAAAAATAGATACGTAATCGCGCGCAACCGTTATCGTAATTAACAATTAAGAACGAAGAGAAGGCTGTCAAATTATGGACCAGTGTTTGACACGCGTGTCATCTTTCGGTCTTCTTCGATCAATGAACGCCTACGCATGTCATTCTTTTGATCAATATATGATCGATCGTTCCATCAGAAAAGTAATATCTACATACATACATATATAACATATTTATATAGGCATATATATATATATATATATATATGTATGTATGTATGTATGTATGTATGTATGTATGTTTTATATATACATATATATGAAATATCCATATAAAAAATGTTTTTCTTTGTGCATCTCTTTGAATTAAAATCTGAAGCAGCGATGTGCGATGAGGATGCGGCGGACCGCTCGTATATATAAAAAAGGAAAAGGACCTAAAGTTCCGGGACCGAAATTAACTTTCAAAATTCTCCCAAAGAGTCAGCTTACGACAGGTTTTTTTAAGCTAGTTTGTACTTGTCCAGTCGTGTGTTGCTTGAGTTTTAATAACTTGCGAGAAATAGCGTGTGTGTTAAAACAAGGAGACGAAAAACATTTGCGTATATGAATTTCCCTCGGATAATCCCCCGTTTCCAAATGCCTACCCCCTCCCCCCCACCCTCCCGCAACCATAATTAACCGTAACATAGCTGCATAACTATACACTTACAGAATCTAATATAATGATAATTATATTGTAAAGATATACATACATACGCATATATATACATATACATACGTATACACATATGTAAAAATATACTTCTATACGTGCGCCTGACGTCTACGAGTCGTGTAACGTTCGGATACGCGAGTTCGGGGGCCTTCCAGCGCAGCTATACATATTTTCTAAGCCACAGAGCATGTGATGTTAGGAATTATTGCGTATATATTTTAATCGATAATCATTATATAAATAGCGATGAATTAGGAACGGCTGCGCGCGCGAGCGAGCGAGCGGGCTGCACAATCGCCACCGGGATCGGTTGCCACGGCGCGGTCCTTCGATCCCCTTCCACCGCGACTAGTAATCTTTTTTGTTGTTTTGTTGACATTCCATGTTTCCAAACTGTATATGAACAAGGGAGATCGAAGCCACGCGTGTCGCGAGCCGCAACCAATAGCCGCACAATCGCACGACGGGGGGCGATCGCGACGTGAATCGAAGGATCCCGTCTCGGAACGCCGCGTGTCAGGCGAGAATTGCTTTGTGCATCGAACAAAAAAAAATATGTTGCTCTGCGACTGTTCCGAGACGCTCCTCGGAGACCAAGCGGCTTCGGACTTCGGACGTAACGACGAAGGACCGCGCTGCCGAACTCGGTAACGAGAGCAAGAGTAGGTGTGTATGCCTGTGTGTGAGAGAGATGTACTTTAACGGGCGCAGTTGCTTGTCTGAGAGAAGACGCGAGGGAACCTCAGATTAATTGTGACAAAACAAAATTAATAACATTACGATGATAAATCGTACCTTCGGACGAAAGTTTCGCATAAATCTTCTAGTTCCGGTAAATGTATGAAAGATATTTGAATGTTACATCTACTTCTACTAATTTTTCAAATACTTGATAAACTTTTATATAAACTACTTTTTATATAAAAGCAAATCTACTAAATCTTTTCCACTTTTTATGTAGAAAGTTTGTAGTAGCTACAATTTTTAAATATCGATGTCTCCGTGAGATCTCTGTAAGTAACGGATACCGTTTGTTAAAATTACAACTTGAGATTCCCTTACGTGAGTGCATGTGCGATACGTATCAATGTATTATGGACAGCGATGGTGCTAATCGAAACCCCAATACGTAGCGATCGATAATTTTTCTCAAACGAAAATATAATAAAAATAAAATAAAACGTCGCGGTTAGATTCTTTTCTTTTCTTTTTTTTTTTTAGAGAACCACTTGTAATAATGCCGCAACGTTCCGAATTTTCCTCGCAACCGACGTGCCTCGAAGTGTTGTTTTTCCTTGCGAGCTTTTGAGTTCCGCGCGGAACTGGCGTTACGTAGTACGAATAGAGGAAGAGAGAATGCTGTATTTAAGTTGTTAGTTTTTTCGAATAAAAGAAAAATTAGTAAAGTGTGTTCCCACAGTCTCATTAGCGAAACACGGTACATATATACATATATACATTGGTCCTGCGATCGTCACTTCCTTCTCCCGCATTCACACTAGAGAAAGAGCAAAGGAAAAAAAGAAAATGCAACATTCCAAACATATTCACGCTTCATGGAGAATTCTAAAGACCTCGAGGTACTGCCATGTTCCGTGTGCGCGCGAGTATCCTGACAGAGGGGACGTGGAGCGTGATCGTGCGCCCGTAACGCATCGTCGAATCCGTTGAGACACGCGCGGAAATAATTAAGTCGGAACTCAATGCATTTAATTAAAAGGAACCGGTTTGCCTCTTCCTGTCTTCTTCCCGCTGCTGCCCTGGCTCTCAGAGCCAGGTCGCAGAAACATTCTTTTTCTCTTTTATCGAACTGATAAGCATCGACTCCGAAAATCTTATAAATTTCATAACTTATTTATTATCGTGCCAAGAAGGAATCGATCGCTTATGTATTCTGTAAGTTGCGCAGCAGTCGAAGGTACTGTTTTATTCGTAGCGAGCGGCTCGTGAGGTATCAATCAATTTGCAGCTGATTTTACTGATTCGTCGTAAAGGCCGCTCTCTTAATCGCGTTTTGCTAATATTCTGCATTTAAGGTGTCGCTTCCATTTCGCTCTCTCCCGCCGTTGTCTGAAGTTTTCGTAAACGACAAATGCGATCTGCGAAACTCGTCTGTCGACGACAAACGGAACATGGCATCGGGGTGAGAAACGAAGGTGCCAACAAAAAAAAAGTATCCTTTGCTACAAGCATCACGTAGAAAATCGTCACGCTCGTCACCATCCGTTGCCTCATGACAATAAGAAGGATTTTATTATTCTCTGTAAAATACTGTATATATATATACATATAATATATATACACATGTAAAATATAACGAAAGAGATTGTGAGTGCATGTGTGTTTGTAGTAGCGAGCTTGACATAATGAATTTATTTAGGGTAAATAAAGAGAGGACGGTTATTAATTAAAAAGATCATATTATATCATAAAAACATCATGTTTTATCGAACTCGCGTCGCAACTCTAGCCACCATACTTGGAGACGTTGCAATCGCGTAATTATTTTAAGTTCGAATTGTCCATCATGATTTTGATTGATCGACCTGTCAGGCTGTGCGAATCTGGTAGACTGTTGTGTGTGGTGCAGCTGCAGTGTATGTGCATATACGTATGAATAGTAAAGTCTTTATGACTCGCGAGTGCGAACCAGGACGAATTAAAGGCAGCCAAGCAAGGTGTAAAGTATATGTAAACCGGTCGCATCTATACATATATATATAGCTTCGTCGAGCATATAACAAATCGCGCAGTTGCATCGACAGAAAAAACGATAAGACGATGCAGTAGCATCGCGCGCGCACACACATATATATACACACACGCAACACACACGCCCACACATACACATACGTTTGGATATATGCGCATTGCGTGTGCGCGCGCGCGCGTGAAGAGTGGTATACATATAAGTTTTTTGTTATTAAGTATTATTGAATTTATTGTAATGATATACTCTTAAGTAACGATCACGTAATTACTGCTAGAGAGAGTGTTATTTATTTTTATTTGTTGCGAATTTATCGATTGCCTTCCATTTGAGTAAAATAAATAAATATAAAGTTATTCGCTAAAGCGTTATTTCATTATTCTCTCCCCGTCCTTTCATCCATTTTTTCTCGGATCACAATTCATAGAAATGCAGAAAATTCTTTGAATTTTTGATAACAAAATCTTTTTTTTTATTCTCTTAATACAATATTCATTTTGGAGATTTTTTTCTAATTTTCATGATGCGAAAGCTTGATTTCTCAAAATAATGATTCTTAGAAATTTTGAAAAATTTTGAAAATTTTATATTAACAGAAATTAAGTTTCCTATCTAAAAAAAGTTAAATAGAGCGGGCAAAACACCTGTTTGTAGTGCTAGCCTTACAAAAAGAACAACGCAGAAACAAGCGCGTCAATACACGAAATCGATAATGATTCACTTAGTGAAGGTACAGCATGCACCGATCTATTGTATGCGAACTAATAATTGAAAAAGTGTTATGTGAGATCATAGTAATGACGTTAACATCAGCTTATTAGTTACATTATCTGTCACAATCTAAAATAATTTCGAATAATTACAGACGGCAAACAGCTCTCGATTAATAGCTGTTTTTTTATGTACCGGTTGCTGAAAAAGATACATGTTATTACAAGAACGAGATTACTCAACGTATAAATTAAATATTGACCAATAACATGCGGGTCAATCCATGAACCCGATAATGAATCATTTGAGAATTAAATCATATCAATTAGTAACGGTATATACAACATGCGCCGATCTATTGAATGCGAACTAATAATTGAGAAAATGTTATATCTGACATAATTTTATACATCGTTCATTGTTTTAAACCTTCCGATTTTTTTTAGTTCAATCCATTTTATTATATATGAGGAAAAGCAATTGACCGGTATTTTAATCAACGAAGTCCGTAAAAGTTATTGACTTTTCGAATTAATACGCGCAATTAGCTTCTATATAATATGTACGAATATAAGTACGATAAATAGAACTTTAATTTTTATGTCTTATAAATAATATATTATGCGAGCTAAATGAAATTATTAATAAACATGACCAATTTGACATCAAATATACCGAGATTGAAAATGTTAAAATGTTATAATGTTAACAATTTACGTTAATATGTTATGTTATAATAAAAAATTGCTTACCCCGCGGCGGGGTAAGCAAAAAATAATATTCCTTACCCCGTAATAGGGTAATCAAAATTAAAAATCAATATCCTCTCGCTCTGTTTTCCAATCATTATAAACATCGCTCTGCCCTTGACGTAATTGCATTCGCAAACGCCAATCTACCTCAACTGCAGTACAACGCAGTTTATAACTAATATTTGAACGATATGAGCAACATTTGCATACATTGGAAAGCAATTTGTCATCCAGAGATATCTATAATCACGAAGATTCTAATATTATTTATATATTATGTAATAAAAATGCAAGCTCAAAAGTTTAATCGTGCCAAAAAGTATGCATCTCTTAAACTTACATCAATCGGTAAACATATATTTATTTTTTTGAAAACATTATCTTTGTCTTGAAATATTGGAAAACAGTTTCGAGACTCTTTTCCACACAAACGGCATATCTCGACTTTTTCGTTTTCATGAGCCATGCTTGATATATTTTTATTGAAAGTTTGTAGTTATTTCTTGTTTCTACAAAGATGTTATGTCTAAACGAGGTCAAATGCTTTGTTCAAAAGAGAAATGCTTATTCTATTAGAAAATAAATAAATGCGTAATAAATCTGTTTCATTATTTTAAGTTAATCGTTAAATGAAAATTATATATGCATTCTTATAAGAAAGAATACTGAAAAAAACTTTTTATAAAATTTCTCATAATTTTTATGTAAATTTTAGAATTCTTAAATAATCTTGTAACACCTTAGAACATTTTACATAAATGAATAATTGGAACTTTTCAGAAGTGTCGAGAAAGTTTGCATCTTTTCAAATATTCTTTATATATACAGTACTGGAAAAAATAAATCATACTTCTTTCAGTCAACTGAATTTGTTAGTGTAACTATCTTTTTAATGAGCAAATAGATTATTAAATACAGGAGTATTTCAAAGTATTTCGAAATACTCAAATAAAGAAAATATAAAATAGCAAAAATTTTGCTAAATTCTTTTGTAAAAAATTTGTTATTCAATATTGTTACATTTTACCCTGGACAAAATAAATCATACACTTTTAGAAGTAACAGTTAACAAACAAACAAAATTAATTTTAATGGTACTTAGTACTAGTACTTAGTGTGTCTGTTTTAGCTTTTAATACCGCATCCAGTGAGCGAGACATACTCTCGAATAATTTTTTTAAGTATTTAAAATGAATTTCCTCCCAGGCTTTCTGGAGTGCTGCATAATACGATGTCTTGTTAGTTACGTTTGTTTTATCCACATTTCCATCCAAATAAGCCTACAGATTTTCAATCAGATGTTGCGACGGCCATTTGAGCAGTTTTACTTTAATAGATTTGAAAAAAGGCTGTATTTTCTTTGCCTTATGCTTTGGGTCGTTATCTTGTTGGAAGATAAAGTTATTTTTCAAATCCAATTTTAGAAGTAATTCTTCCAAATTCTCGCACAATACATCAATATATCCTTCTGCCGTCAAAATGTCTTTAATTTGAGCCAAATTACCGATACCTGACCAGGCAAAGCACTCCCATTCCATGATATTATCACCTCCATGTTTTACGTCGTCTGAATATTTACTTCTTTGAGAGCCTCATCAGGTTTTCGTTATTCTGTATAAATTTTACAATATTTTTATAAAACGTTTTACAAATATGTAATTATTTTTTTCACGGAGAGAAAGAGAAAGAGAGAGAGAAAGACTTTAATGTAAGAGTCAGTTCTTACAGAAGAGAATTAAATTATAGGACTGATTAATTGCTAACCCATTATAGAACAGTCCTTTTACGTGTAGCATTGAAAATAGGACTCCGCGATGATTAATCTGCTAACTAGTAGGATTGATCTCTTGCATAGACACAATTGTCGATATCGATGTAAGAGAGGTGGTATTCACGGATGCATTAGGACAATCGTTGTTCCTTGAAATGTTGACAGGATTCTTCCAAACGAATTCTTCTTGCAACAACCGTAAGATCCTTCTTTTACACACGTATATAACAAAAATAATAAAACCTTGCAAGTTATCAATGGCATCGAAGATAAGCCAGAAGATTGGTGGCACAAAATTTTCATTTGACCAAAATATTATTATCTTTACAATCCAGTTTATTCCCATCACTATGAACAGCTTCAAATATATTGTAAACCTGTGAATGAATATATATTTCTGTTTATCTGTCCGTGTATGATTATTATATCATTATGATAGGATTCCTGTATAGGAAATATAGGAAAAGTCATGAAAAACAGAGTACTTAAATATTTCTGTTTGAAGAAAAAAAAACCTAGAAAGAAAAGAAGAGAAAAGTTGCATTATTTAAATGTTGAGTTGATAAAAATCGCTTTTCTCTTAAAATTATTTTCATTTTTAAATTATTTTTTTTTAATGGCAAAGATATTTTTAATTTAATTAACCAAATTAGAATTATAGCTGATGGCAAAATGAATTCAATAATTTATAACACCAAGAATCAAATAATCTTGTATTTGAAAATTTAAAATCGCAATAAGAACTAATTTAAAAAAAATAACGTTATTATATTTTATCTATATTAACTATTTTAATAATGTCAAAAAGAGAATTTATCTGTGATTTGATTATATAATTGATAAATATAATATATGTTCACATACATGTGGATACTTCTAAAGACCCCTGATAAAAAAGAATTTTTATATCTTATAATATCTTTAAGAATTTGTCAGATTTTAAATTTATGATAATTTCTAAAAAAATATCTAAAACTTTTTCAAATTTTATAAGTTTTCTTCAGAAATTATAAAATGAAAATCTTAGAATATTTCAGAATTTACACATATAAGAATTCTAGAAAAAATGTAAACTTTTTTGGCATTTTTAAAAAGGGTTTTAAATTGTACAGAAATTCTAAAAAATTTTCTAAAAAATTATAAATTAATATATAAATTCTAAAAATTTTTAAATTTATATAAAAATTCGGAAAAATTATATAAAGAATTTTTTTTTAAATTTTTACCGGGATGGAATGCAATTTCTTATTAATGTATGACAAATCAACAAAAATGAGCTGATGACAGTGATTATACTATTTTAATAATTTAATAAAATTATTTTTTTCTAATAACAATATTATTTGTGAAACGTATATTAAATTTGCACAAATAAATAATAGCTCGACTAGTTTATTTTGCATAAGAGTGGAAAGTATTTCATATTATGCAGTATTCGTGAATGATGATGTATCAGATGACATTTTTTTCTGTACAGACTTATTTTTATTGTGGCGGCTGCTTTCCAAGTCTCTCAACTGATTCATTGTCTGCTTATCACGAACCTTTAGTATCGTCGCTGTGAAGAAGAAGATATTGCAACTAATAGCGGCACTCGCGGGTATATAAAAGTATACCGTTATTGCCTCATCTGAAACAAATTTCTTCGTATTATACGCTAATAAACGTAGATGTGTTTATAATTTTAATTCAAAGGTGTTTGATTCAATCAGTCTTTTTTTAGTAAAACGTTCTGATAGCGCTAATAATCGAAGTTCTACTGCACTTACAACTTAACCAAAAGCTATTCTTGCACATTTTCGGTCGGATCGAATCGCTAAAAATATCCATAATAACACGAACAACGTTGAGGATAAAAGCGACTCCCCACGCAAAGATCGAATACATGATAAACTTCTTTTTCTCCTGATTCTTTCTCATGATGTTTGTTTGATATGAATGGAATTTTCTGTGAAATTAATTTACATTTAAATAAGAATAAATTATTGCTCAATATATACTTTTGCAAAACAAAAATATTTTATTTTTAAATATATAAAATAATAATTATTATATAGATTATAAAACACACACACACAGACATACACGCGCGCGCGCGCGCGCGTAAGAACATACTCTCTGTATGTGTGTGATGTGTGTGTGTATGTGTATGATTGTACTGAAGCGAAAACTGTACCGAAACTGAAAAGGTAATAATCGCCCGTAAAACTTTAAATCAAAATAATTTGTATAATTTGTAAGATAATGTCGTTATATTACACATCATTGTATTCGTTAAAAAAAAACGCTACAACTTTTATCTATATATATATATATATATATATACATATGTATATGAATTAATCATTTCACGTCAACTCGATCACTTACCCGTGCATAAAGCCATTATAAATCAAATAAACATTTATATTTGATATACACATATAAAATATACATACATACATACATATATACATACATATATAAGATCGGAAGAGCACACGTCT